AGATGAATAATGTTTGCCACGTTGAGTAAGAGTACATGTTTTTTTCTTAATAACCAACTGTTGTATGAAACAAATTCATATCTTCAGTAGAAAACATCGATTTATCTTCAAACTCTGGAATCTTAATCAGTACCAAGTGCCCTACAAATGATATAAATCTGAATCACATTAGAGTATGTTTAGTAAAGATATCAAACATATTACGGTAATATCATAATACAGAAAAACTGGTAATAGTAACCAGCGTATATCTCTACTTAGGAGTCCTTGAAAACCAAACCATTCTTAAATGTTTAATAACTCACTGTGATCTATCATTTGAGACTATACTCGATTCAAAAGCGATTTGACAGTTGGATTATGTTCCCTCGTCAGTGTGAGGATGATTTTTGTATAAGATTGAAAATTTCATTTATTCTTAGTTTGATTTTGACACCTAAAATAAAATCGTTCCTCTATCTGCTGAAGCATTGCATTATATTATCAACTAGATGAATAAACATAAATTCAGTTGAGATGAACAAAAGATCAAAAAGATTAGAAACACGAGACTTGGACTAAACAAAAAGTCAGTTCAACAAACACATCACAATTCAGAAGATAATGTTGAAGGCAAATCCTACAATAATCTATTAACGAGTCTACATTAACCAACTGTCATTCTTCTCCCCAATATCCATGAAAATACATTTATTGATCTATGATCGTGACTACTAAGATCTTGAGTTTGGCAAAAAAAAAACTCTTTTCGTTTTACCGATAAGAATTTGTTGAATACAATATTCCATTATTTGAACTTTCATGACAATCATATTGATGATCAAAAAACCATTCTTTTTCATTCGAAAACTTCGATATAAATTGAGCACTTAAACAACGATATAAAATTTGATCCATTGCTTCACTATAACTATTTTTCATATCAAAAATATGTAAGTGTGGCATTGAAGATGAAATTAATTCCTCCCATTCTTTTGCATGTGAATATGATAAATCATTGAATATTGAAATACGTCAAACTTCAATATGATGAAAGAAATTTTTTATGAATTTTTCAAATTGATGAAAATCAATTGAATGAAGGTAAAAAAACCATATTTTAAATCTTTTAACACAACTGGATAAAAATCTATCTCTGAATAATTTGATCCAAGAAGAACGACTATCAATTATACACACAATGAACAGACATATTCATCCAGATAATTTTTCACTCAAAACATTTAAAAGCAATTCTACCGACGACTATTTATTGATAGAGGAATATAGTGAACTACAAATCATGATTGCCATTCGTTTGAATCCTTTCTTCTAAGAATCTGACACAGAAATTGCACTAAAGTAATGTTGTAGCCTGGACAGGAACTATGAGAATTGGAAATGGATGTGATATTTATTCTTTATTTTTTTCTGATATAGAAACAGATTTTTTGTGTTGTCAAATTTGGATAACTTTGCTATTTCCACAACAGAGCATAAAATCATAAGAACATTTAATCAACACGAATTTTAGGCTCTATAACTATTTAAATCAATATCTATATACAGCTGTTCTCAAAAAAACTTGGACAAAACTAAATTTTTTTGTAACGATTTTTTTGCCATTGACAGCAATTGCAAAGCTAATATTTCTAGGGATGAATCATCGATAGCTATACTATATGTTCACCATACAGAAGTGTGATTTCTTTTCTTTTCGATACATATATACTTAATCATGACACCAACTAGTGATTTAAAAAATCATCATATCTCAATATTACACTATTGGAATAAAGGTATTATGATCTGCTAGCCTTATTCATCGTGAAGCAAAGATTCCACTGAGCACTATCTATTACAATATTGAATATTGACAAATTAAAACAAAGAAGTTCACTTAAACATCAATAGTACGTAGTCTGACGGCAAAAAGTAATGGAGAAACACCAATCAATGTCGAATGCACTATGTGTGGCGACACCTAGGATGAAACTCATTTTTGGAAGCTCTTATTAATAGCATATGAAGTACATCACTAATAAAGATTATTTATGAAGTCAAACTCTTCTGACCCAGTATAATCATGGAACTAAACCAAAATAAAAGCACTGATTTGCTGACATCTTTCGCGTCGATTCATTCTCACACAAAATTGATAATACTATAATTGAATTCCGCATGTAGTGTAGCGCCATCATCTAGGTGAAACTCACTTTTCCTGAAAACAAAATATGCAGGTAAATATACCTGTTGTTTCTATACGTTTTTATCAAATTTTTTTTTTCTGACCCTTCAGTTTGGACTAAGTGCATTAGTGGATATCGATTTCTACATTGATTGGATGACTCATGTATATATGTCCACAGACTACAAGGTGAAAATGGTCGACCATGTCTACTGAGTGAAAAAGAAAAAAAAAGCTATTGGTCAATATATTCGACGAAACAATGAAATAACTCTTAATGAAATACAAGAAAATTTAATGAGAACGTATCATTCATCAGTATCTACATCAGCAGTATATCGTCATCTTCATGAATATGGTTATAGGAATGTTTTAGCAAAAAGTACTCATATGTTAAAATCCGAAGAAAAAAACCGACGTGTACAATGAGCTAAACAACATGAGAAATGATGATTTTACATGTACAATTTTTTCGTAACATTGTTCGTCGTTGGTCAAAACATCCAAATGACGAGTTTAAACATATACCTAAAATTTGGTCGATCGGTAAGACACAAAGTTGAAAGAAAGAAAACCCAAAAACATTGATGAACTCGAGTTTTTATTTGGCTGAAGAATTCAAAAATATTGAAATTAATGTTGTAAAAAATTCTATGATGTCCATGAAAAACATATGTTTGTCTCTTATTTCTTCTAAAGGTGAACGAATAAAATATTGAAATATAGTGTTCGATAGTACTCGTCGTAGGCTATCAACCAATATATGAAAAGGTTGGAGAATGACATATATATAGGAAAATACTGACATAACAAGATGTCCAAGTTTTTTTGAGAACAGTTGTAGATTAAACTAATCCACATAAAATCTACGTAAATAAGTGTTTTACGAAATATTATTTCATGTTATTTTAAGACTCATGAAACAAAATTATTCACGATGCTATAAATATCACATTTAAAACACGTCAGAAAGACGCATGACTTATGTTTGATGAGAATCGTAATTACAATCTGCGCATTAATCAGCTAATGAATCTATTCATAGATATTAACAATGAATTGCGAAGAAAGAAGCGCATTATCAATGTTTTATTATTGTAAACAAATCTTGCTGATGTGGCTCTTAATTTCTCTACACCTATATGAGACAAAGCGACGTCAGCAAAGGATGCGCACAATAGTAAGATTGTAATCGTGCATTTCTTTCTCATACAATTGTAAAGAAAGGATACAATTTCAAATAAACACTTCTTTTTAAATTCTCATCTTGTTCGAACAAATTTTTATCATCATTATTGTTTCAGCTAAGGCTATATGATTTTTTTTGTAATTCTATCTGTATAGTACAGGCAATCATTGCCTTGAATTATTCAATTCATGAAGGCTATTGCGCTGCTGTGTTGACACATATTGCATCGACTCTTGTACATACACATGAAATAACAATTCTTTCTATTAGTAAATAGATAATGAAGCAGAATGAGAAAGATAAAGACCATTTTGTTTCTATATTATGATATTGCCATCAAATGCTTCTTGTATGGGTGCTCACATGTTTTCATTTTCATTGATGATATCGACAAATGGCCGAGTATAAAACTGGATATCAATGTATAATATTGAAAAGGAAACTGCTTTATCTCTCTTTACTGGTATGATATTTTTATTTGAAATACTTTAAATAACTACTAATACATTAAAATAGAGATGAAAATCAAAAAAATTTATTCGAATAAATGCTATAAACAGTTTACATCTTTTATTTGTTGCAAAACACTTTTGTATTTCATTTATATTTAGCTACGAAATAAGAGTAAAACCAAAACTGGAAATAGAAACATCAATACATAGAAAAGAAGAGTTTTTTGTATACGAATTAAGATTTTGAACAAAAAAAAGTATAAGATATGAATAGGAAGAGCGATTAAAAGAATAGATGCTAGAATTTTATCCATATCGAAAATTCTTAATTTTCTCAACATTTTTGTCTTTATGTTCAAACGAGATTGATTTTACTTGTATATTCAAAAATCAAATTTTATCATTTATAATTGGAACAATTGACAAATATAATTACATAATAAATATGAATATCCTTTATTTACAAATATTTTTAAGAATTTACCAGTTTAAAATATTGAAATTATCATCCATCTTTTACTTGTGATCGACTAATCTGATCAATATCTCACTTCCGACTACTGTTTTCTCTTCGAAAATCAAATCCATACTAATAGCATCGCTTTCATTGAAGTGCACACGAAGTTCGATAAACAAACTCGATTGATTTTCTTTGCCGCTACAGTCAATTGTCTGAATTCGAATGGTAAGCTTGCTGAGAAAAATTCATTTAAGAAAAACTATCACCATAATTGACAATTGACATTTTTCATTCAATACTATAATTCTAACCGAAATCGTATCAACTAATTGACAGTGTCCCTTCGAACTCATTTCTGACTTGTGAATTCAATTGAAAATATTCACCACAATGATGTTACAAACAGTGTAAAAAATAAATATGAGCTCATCGTCTTGGCCATCATTCGATTTGAATTTCGTTTTCTATCATGAATAGAAAAGTTCAACAATGAGCGATCAATTCGACTAGGACACACTTTGGAAAAAACAGACATTGAATGACGACAGATTTTACTAGATCGCAGCACACATTTTGTGCAAATGACAAGTTCTGCTTTTGAGACGTGTTCACGACTTTGAGAGATCACAATCTCTCAAATCTGCTTCTCTTGGAAATTGTTTCTTGTTATTTTATTTTATTGAAATCAAATTCGACAGAATTGCTTATCGATTCAAAGTTTCGAGTTTCTTCTCAGATCTGTTCGAGTATTGGTGGACCACAACGAGGACACCCTGGACATTGTTTACCATTGACTATTATAAAAGTTGGTTGAGGGTTCTCGCATGGTGGTGGCGCACACTCCGGTATTGGACAGTCAATACGACAAACGGGACATCCTGGACATTTTCTGCCATTGATTATTGTAAAAGTTGATTCAGGGTTATCGCATGGTGGTCGCGCACACTCCGGTATTGGACAGACAACAGCACAACGTGGGCATCCTGGACATCTTCTGCCATTGATTATTCTAAAAGTTGGTTCAAGGTTGTCGCATGGTGGTCGTGCACACGGCAGCATTGGACAGGTAATGATCTGTCGACAGAAAATCGATCAAACAAGGTTAGGTTGAAATGAAAAAGAAAGAAAAATATCTTCAAACATAAACTATCACTTACTGGCCTAATTCCCAAATCTAGGAGTTGATTCGTCGACGCATCCAATGCTACAAACGAAAATGTTTCAAATGAATCCACAGTTATCTTTTCCCTTTTGCAATTAATTACCTGATGCACAGCATGCACAGAGGACCATACACAAGATGCAGGCAAGTTTCATTACTACCATCATATTGTCGTGTAATTTTTGCTGCTGAGAAAAAATACAACCTGATTCTAGTTCGTGCTCTTTTTGGGCTCAGCCTTCTGTCTGCCTCTCATTTATATATCGAAGACTCAAAACGAGAAAAAACAAAGTAAGAAGGCAGAACAAGAAAAAAATCCCACTCGTTATAGAGAGGATGTAAATAGAAAGGCAGAGGAGTGAAAGCATGACTTACTTGAAGAGGTTATATTAGGTGATTACACGCGACCTGTCCAAGCACAATGGATAACCAGGCGGACATAATTTTTTTTGTGTCGATTTTTATTTTATAAGCACCATGGTGACAGAAAAATCCGATCAATATCTCACCTGGCAGATCTTTTTACGCTCTACAAAATCTGCTATGCACTTTTTTCTGAAAACATTTACTCAATGAATTTTTTCAAAAACTCTTAAAATTTTCATGTCCGCCTGCTAAGGGAAAGTTGCTCATTGTGCCAAGGACGTTGTTTGATGAATCAAAAATTTTTCGCCGATCATGATGATGATCACACAACGAACGATGTAACAACAAGAACTATGTAGTAGGTAGCACATGAATAGATTGCAGGAGTAAGACGAAGAGAAAAGTACACAGCAACAATAACAAAAAGAAACGTTATTAACCAACACAATAGACACTAAAGTGCGGCGTTTAAAGAAAAGGCACTAGACCAAAAGGAAAAATAACAGGTGGCACATCGAAGATAGAGCAGATATGCAGCACGGACGAATAGATTGTATAGTAGTTGTTCGCCGTACAGAAGTCGCAATTTATCATTTTAAAACCTATCACGAAGTTTATTTGGACAATTTTTACAAGAGTAATGGAAACCGATCGCTGTCGAAGAGTAATTCGAGCAAATAGAGTAGAAAAAGGTCGCTAAAGAGAGTGGATAATTGTAGAATGAAAGTGATACGAACAATGCACGCAATTGCGCTTGGTGATTTCGTATTTGTTTCTCTTCGTTTGATCAATTAAATTCTTGTGAGATCCATAGTCAAGGGCGGTGTTCAAGGTATCCAGGCATCCCTTGGCCAGAAAATACCTGGAGGAATACGGGTGAAACATTTCTCGCTAAGCGCGAGACAAATATTCCGTTGGTGTGTACACCCCTTGGGAAATGCCTGGCTACGAGACTGATTCTTGTCGAGACCATGTCAGCAGTGGCTGTTGTTGTTGGTCGACGTTATACTCCAAGTGATCCGTGGCAACTGCGTAGTTGAGTAGAGTGCCAGGATCATTATCGATTTGGATGGATGCACTTTGAAAGGGTGAAGTGTCGAAATTGATGGATGGAATGTTGAAAGTTGGTTGTGTTTGATTCGAAATGTGTGGAGTTCGATGTGAAAATCAGAAAATGGAAGATTCGTTTGCAGATGTAGATATGAGCAAAATAGGTATGATCAATGTATAGATCGAATGATTGCAGTGACAGAGTCTTCGAATAATGTATTTGCTCTAGTGAATTTTCGACCTTCACGGTCATCTTCAGACCAAATCCATCATTTCGACGACGAGAAACCAATAGACACAATCTATTATGACGAACTACATGCCGATTGACAAGGGTAGAAGAAATGCATTATTGGAACACTATCTTGTTGCAATCATTGCATTTATACATTGATGTAGGGAATAGTGTCTTGAAGTGACCATGTTTCAATTGGGCTTTTGTGTGTGCGATGTGTTCAAGTACATCCGACCTTATCATCGTAGATGAAAACGAACAGAACATTGAGAGTGATAACATCAGGGTCGAGATCATTGTCGACATCCAACCGATCAGATAAGAGACAATACTCATTATCACCATGTCGTCAATTGTACAATTCTTTGAATCAATATTGCGCATTATAGATGAGAGCTACGATTTGATATGAAAGGAGAAAACGAATTGAAGGCATTTTGACAGCGAACTCATCCCATGTAAATAAGTGATGCCACGGACAAAAAAAAACTGGCGTCCAATAGTCGTCTGATCAAGGCGAACTGTGAGATGTTTACCGATGGGCCATATCGAAGCTCCGACAGTATTATTGTGGATCGTGTCAAACCCAAGTTTGCATGCACTTGCAAACTCATCTTCACTCTTGAATCACTCATTCGGTTAATAACACTTGAAACGCCAGTCTACCGACGTATCAACGTAGACAAAGAATCTAGTGAATGTCTTACTTCTTCTATCTTCGATGCGTTGCCATCTTTGCGTTATCGCTCTTTCAAAGGCAAATGTTATCCAGGTTTAGGTATAATTCATCATCATAAATGACGATGAAACTGCAATCAACCCCTATAAAATAGAGGAGATACAGTGTTTATATGTATGACTACATTAAGAATAAGCAGCCATCTGAGGAGACCCTTAAGCAAGGTCGACACCGGTCATGGTTGCTTATTCAAAATGAATTTAATAGTAGCAGAAGAAAGTAAAACGTCAGAATACGGTAGAACTCGAGCATCTTTCCATTTCAAATTCATCCAAAGAGAGTTTTGCTAATCTCCATGCAGCTATTAGTTGACTTAAAGTCAGTGACTTTCATCAATCAGGGTGTGGGTGTCCGGTGTATGTGGTATGGGGTGTGGGTGGTGTGGGTGGTGTGGGTTGGGCGTGGGTGTGTGACTGCCATCTTTGTTTATATTCACATCAACACCACACGCACACCCTCACACTCACTCACCCACCCACACTCACACCCACATCCACACCCACACCCACACCCACCCACACCCACACCCACCCACACCCCACACCCCACACACTCATACCCACACCCACACCCACCCACACCCTCGTTTTTTAAAGGAACATCATATTACTTGCTTATTGTATAAATGCTTTTGAAAAATTATATTACTTGCTTATTATATAAATGCTTTAAGAAATTTCAATTGTTATATCGTATTTCACTGCTATTCCAGTAGAATCTGCTCAAATATTTAATAAGTATTGTATTTCCACTTACATTTCATTAGACTTACTTTTTGAAATAAGTTCTTATTGTTTCAGTTCTACATTTCAACTGTTATTTCGAATTTTAATTGTAATTTTATGTTTGTGCTTTTTTAATTTTTTCTGTAATGCAATGCCCTGAAGAGTGTTTGAAGTTTCAATAAATAAACATGAAACGCATCGGCGTTAAATATAATCTGCATCACTTTTCTTATTTTAATTTAATACAAGCCCATCATCAATATATTTTTCAAATAATAATATTTACAACGACTTATTCGATTGCTGAAAAGCAAAAGCTGAGAGTAGCAGATTGATTTATATTATTTAAAAAAAAATATAGATTGATCTGTTTAAAATCGAAAATTCTTTACATCGACTTAGAGATACTAAGCCACCTGATGAGACTGACTAAGCAACAGTCGAAACGCGTCGTGGTAGCTTCTACACACCCACACTCACACCGCCAACACACACAGCACCCACACCCACACCCCACACGACACCCACACCCCACACCCAAAACTTAAAATTCAGTTTTTGATATAGAATTTTGACATAGAGTAATACTAAAAAGATTCTCGTAATCTGATTTTTATTAATGGATGGTGCTCATGTTGCATCAGCGCGTGTTTTGAAGTTTGAACTTAAAGTAAAAGAAAATGTAGATCGAAAAATGTTGTCGAAGCTTCTGTTTATAGCTTAACTTTATTTAGATTTCAGATATGAAAATTCTGGCTTTTTCTATACTCTATTAGCTGAGATGTTAGTTTAGTAAAGAGCCCAAAACTGGTAAAACTAGTTTTTTTGGTTCGTTGAATTTCTTCCCTAGACTTGAGTATTTCAAACGCAATTCAATTTCAATACAATTCGCTAATTTATTATTGACATAGATACCTATTTATTATTCCAAAGATTGAGTTGTGTGTTGCATTGAATAAGAAGCCAAAAAGGAAACGCTTCTTTCCATTCAATTATTTTTTCTTTTTGCTTTATGCAACAAATAGACCAAAGTCGAAATGACCGGCAACGAATTATCTGTGCAGTGGATTTCTGATTGATTTTCAAGGAATACCATCACAGTACGCTAATGTTCAAGCTCGTTTCACGTCGTTGATTTTAATCACAATGTTTCCATTGAGAAATAAAATACTTGCGCGTCTCAATTGAAAGAAAATTTTGTTGATTCTACCCTAGTGTTGAAAACTATTTGTGAATATCTATTCTCGATTTCAGTTTTAAATCGAAAAAAATCATAGACTGATTTGGCTCCTTACTATTCAAATATACTACCATATGATTTCAATTATCACCTACAGGACTCCTACAGCAAGTCACACAGGATTAAAGGAACAGTGATTTTAGGTGATACGAGGCTTACGATTTTTCTTTGGTTGTTGCGTACAAAAGTAAAAAAATCTGAGTATTGTGAGTGTGATTTCAAGAAAGGGGGGGGGGGGGGGGTGAGTGACATTTTCAATTCACTGTTGCTTGTGCAGCAATTTTATTTATACGAAATTCATGACTTTGTATCAGATGTAAAAAATAAAATATCTTAATTCAATTTTTTTCGTTAGAAAATTTATTTGATGAAATCTGAGTGCCTCATATAGACATACAAGAAGACTTTGCATAGCATACATCTCTTCATCCTGAAGAAACTTACAACATGTATACTTATTGATTGATTCTTTTTCTCCTGTCTGCAATATATAATACGATGCATCAGTGAAGTGAAATAGAAACGCTCATTTTCTTGTCGAACACAATCGCACACTACAATCAAGATCAAGTCGATAAACATAGCAAAACACAGGATAATTATTCTTATCCAGCATTGTTGACTATACTTGTAGATCCACACAATATTCCGTTTTATCGTCCGCTATCGGTACCATCTGTCGATAAAGTTTCTCATCAAGTGCGTAATTCACCATTGCAATTTTTGTCTTTATTCTTACGAGTCATTCAATCTAGTATCATCATTCATTGACAAAAGATATGCGATCTCGTTTTGTTATCCATGTAACCACCCGATCACCAAAAAATAATATCCATCCGACGAACAATCAGTCTGCCAATCCTCAAGACATTTTGTTCCCGGTTATATTCTTAAAATCTTTGATTATTCATATTTTCTCTTTATGTAAATAGATGTCAACTATTTTGGCTGCGCGTTATCATCAAGATAAACCCCAGGCTGCCGTGATGGTGGCTGGGGGGGGGGG